TCTCAAGCCAATTTAAGTTAGCCGGTACGCCCGGCAATTTTTGCGAGTTTCGAGAATTTTGTGTAGCAACTGTGTCGCGCATACGAGGGGATACATTACGGTGGAAATGATGATATATCGTCTCGATCGAGAGTCTCCTCAGTGTCTCGGCTGGATGGTTTACGTCTCGAGTCTGTGTCGACGTCTTGCGTTTCGATACAGTAATTAAACGGCGACATTAACAGGCAAGACTGTAGATATTCTTTCTTTCGCGAACAGTATCTGCCTTGTGGCGACCAAGACAGAACGCCCTCTTCTCGATGTCACTCGACACAGACAGAGGACGAGTCGCGTAAATGTTTATGCGAGAGAAATGGCCCGACGATAATGAACGTTCTTTTATATTGGAAACAATGTCACCCAGACTATACATTTACGATACGAACGCTTTAACGACACGTGACGCGTAGACTGTTTGGCGCGCGGTTGATTCGCGGAATGGAATGCCGTTCTGTTAAGGAATATCTTATATCTATTAACAACTATTCAATTTATTATGTGTGTGTGTGTGTGTCACCTTAGACTCTACACTGAAGTCATTCTCAGCGAGACCATTATCGAAGAAATATCGTCACTTTTTGCTCGTTCTGAATGAAATTCCACTCCAAGAAACTCAGAATGAGATTCCATTCCAAGAGATGTAGAATGAGATTCCACTCCAAGAAATTTAGAAAGCACTACGGTAAATTATCTTTATGTACGTATAATAAATTTATAGACCGTAATGTTAACAAGATATCCGTGTACGCTAGCGATTAATTGTCAGCGTAGCAAAAAAAAGATATTGTCGCGAGAGTATCTTGCCTTCCGCTGCGCGAAGTTTCTTGACAGCCTCTGGGATCATATAGAAAAATGGGAATAGAAATTAATATCGTATAACTTGTTGAGACTTTGAAAAATTCATGAAAAAACCTAGAATTTATCGTTGCATCCGACTTACATATCGCAAGGATCATATTACAGCGACAAGTAATCGGTCTGAGTAATCGGTCAATCTAGTTATATTATTTTTCTTCACGATACAGTTACAGAGATATGATTATGTATGTGCCAATGTGCAACATAACGTTTACTAGTAATGCCACGTTGTTGATGTCATGTCGATACTTGACAGACGATATTTACGATGGAGTTGTGTTATCATTTTAGCTTTCAAGCAACGATCGAGAAAATTGCTGGTGTACACTCTATTATTAATGAGGTATAGGAAAATGGTTAAATATTATTCTGAGAAAAGCGATACATAGGTGTCTTTAACGTTAGCGATTTGTCGAATGTTCTGAGGATCTTCCTTTTTGTCGTTAGCTTCTCCATGTATATTCTTATTACGAGGTTTCCGTTTCACTGACGGAAAATGTTAGTTGACGCACCGTCCTAACAATTTGCTCTTACATCCAACTGAGATTTTTAGTTTAATAATCCGCAGCAACTCCTTCGCTTTTCGATTCTCTGCTTCTTCCTCTCTTATTTCTTTGTCTCACACAAATACACTTCTGCTTCTACATTCAGTTAACCAAACTCATCATCGAAGTTTCAGTTCAGCCTTAGTTCTCACTGCCTTCCAACTCATTTAGCATATCTTCTTGCTTAAAGCGTGAAACGCAATACAATGGGTACTTACAGTTACCGTATCGTCGCGAGTGTTTCGCGAGTGTTTCCTCTCGGAAGTAAAAGCAGAGGCAGTTATTGTTATTGCCGCGAGTACCTTTCAGGAGTTTTCGTGCGTGAGGCGAACCTGTTGTTCTCTCGAAAGGGTTGACGTCGTCTGGCACGTTTCCACGGTATTTTCAGAAGTATCACGCCCCGCGGCCGAATCCCGAACTCTCGCCGAGTTGAAGCGGATAATTACTATCGGCCCCTCGCCGTTCCGCGATAAACAATCGCACGACGTGCCGCAAACGCAAACATCTCGCGTTGTATCAAATTTAGTGTTCCGACGCTAAACATCCTTTCCGCGTATTTTTGATCATTGACGTAACCAGGCCGCACGTTCTATTAGGGAGAATTCACATCTCGAAGCAGAAAACAGAAAGACAGGTACCAATCAGAACTCGGACTGACAGGAAAGCAAAAACCGTCGGCTATCATTTGACTACCGGCGCGAGTTCTGATTGGCTCCTGCCTTTCTGTTTTCTGCTTTACTGCCAAGGTGTGAATTCTCCCTTGTAGATCGTTAGTATTGCGGCTCTACGCTCTGGACGTTGTAAGAAAAATGCCTCAACGTTCGCGCCCTGGACACGACTTTCATATCGATGAATCGGCGCGCGATCAACGAAGATAGATATAATGTAGAAAGCCGAGGAGATGTGGCATTATGGACCGTTAATAGATTCAACTGTAGCCACTTATCCGTGATGGATAGCCGTCGACGGATCGTTTATTATCGGCGAGGATGGCGGGTGCAACAAAGATCGCGAGTCGTTTGTTAACCCCGATAAAAATGACTTTCCGCTTTACGGTTTAGCCAGTTGATGATAGAGATCGTTAAAACCTGCCGGCACGGCGATAGCACTTCGTCATTGCCAACGAGAACACGTTGACGCGCTTTCACAATCTTTGTCCCCGTCGTAGTATTTTGAGTACCTTATATTGCGACCGTAAATCGTAATATGGTATCTGTAAAAGATGGTCGGAGGGAACGTATTGCGTTTTCAGCGAGTCTCTCTCTTTCTCGTATGTTTGTTACGTAAGTTATCGTGAAGGATGAGATTGCGATATCGTAATGCATCAACTGGAATAGCCTCTAAATGCTTTTTATTCCTCCCTCTATCAGAGAGAGAGAGCTAAGATGTAAATAAACGAAGGTCTCTTTAACTGTGCATCGCGTGTGTAACGCGTGGCCTTATTTTAATACAAATTATTGTGCATTGAATATCAAGCCCGTTGGCGTTTCGTGCGTTCAAATATGAAGCATTGCTGGACTTATTTTTTCAACCATTCGTTTCACGTTTTTCATTGATTTGTTTTCGCTGAAATTTGAAACATTTTTGCCAGTCCCACTGTTCGTGAAGTCCGCGCGTTCGTATAAGGCTTATTATACTGAAAGTGTCGCAAAGTACATTTGCCAAAATAAAAGAAATAATAATCGCGCGATAAAATAAAGAATATGTTTCAACATTAAAGAATAGAATATTCTTCTTTATGACGTAGGTACGTCACGAATCCTCTTTTCTACTTGGGTATCCGCGTACCATTCTAGAATTGTGCAACGTTGAACATGCATATATTCTCAGCCGCGGTCGCCCACGTGTTCACATTTTGTAACTAGGCTTAATCTCCTCTGGCACGACACGGTATCCCTTTGTTCCGTAATCTTTTATGGTATTACCCGTGGCGTTGAAATGTCTTTCCTCGTTTGGTGTTTCGTAAGTAAATTATTCAGGAACTTATTTTCTACAGTAGTTCTCAAGAGAAAATAAAAACGTGATAATTATTCAGACACTAAATATGTGATGTATGTTATGTATCCTCGTCAAAATATCCACGGAGAAAAATAATTTTGCTTCTTTAGCAAAATCGTCGTTGCTACTGCATATTCATAGTATCAAAAAAATTTAGTTGAACTAATTTTACAAATTATTCGTTATCAGTAGTTTTGTTGCCAGGATAGAAAAAATTTGTTGAGTGTATTTGTCCTAAGGATCACATTAATTTGCTATTGATGCAAAATAATGTATCCTTAGCAAATTTATTTGTTATTGGAGTAAAACTGCAATTTTTTATATAAATCCATCATATAGCAAAATAATTTATAGACTCAGCAAATTATATTCAGCAAATAGTGATTAGTAATCTTAGCAAATCTTTTTGCTGTCCATATAATAACGAAAAGATTTTGCTAGACCAGCAGAAAATTTGCTGGGTCAGCAAATTATTTTTCTCCATGCTTATATATACTTAAATTATATTATTATTAATTATATTATTAATAAATTATATTATATTATATTATTATTGTTGTTTTATTACATAATATAAAATTATACATGTCACTCGAAATGGCAGTTCGCTTTAATTCTCGATTACGAACGGCAGGTTGGTTTTTGCTGCTCAAGTTGTATCATTTAAATTTTTCTTACGCGCCATAAGCTACGATGTATACATACATTTATTTGTGCCATGACACTCGGCCGTTTCGCGGTTATCTCTCGGCTTGCGATTCGAGACCGACATTCGATACGTCCCGCGAAAACTGTCGTGCGTAATTATAGAACCGTGCATGCGCTATGTGTTTCTCTCCAGACGTGGCGCACCGCCGTGGCCGTTGCGTTGTAGGTAAGCCCGATATAATTAGGCGAGAAGAGATGGTCGCTGTTCCGCGAACAATTTCCCCAAGGTCTCTCCGCTCGTACACTTCGCACGAGCGCTCCCGCCGTTAAATCTAGATTAATGAACACCGACACCCCTCCGATCGCCGCGGCGGCGTGTAAGCGCGGACCCGATACGTGATCGCGTAAAAAAACCGCCGGAGCCAAGCTGGATTGCATCGGCGGCGGCTCGCCAGAGAAATCGTAGAACGTGCCTACCTGATGGTTACGCACGCACAGTTGTTCAGTTTATACCGGTCAATTGGCTCGTTTAGTTGGCAGCTAATTAGTGGCACGTAAAGCGCCGTCCTGTCCTTCTTCAGCGAGTTATGTTAATATTGTTATCTGAAGAAATCGTTACTTGAGAAATCGTTTCCACTTCGCATTATCCGACGCGAGCGTCCTCGATTCATCGCTCGAAACGCGCTCGTCTTATCGAGCGTTGAAGCGAAAAATTGCCGAAAACACACGTTGTTTTAAAGTCTCTTTGAGTATACCTGTTTTCGATTGACTTGTGGTCAATTAAATTAACAGAACTTGACTTTTGGTAACTTTTTAACACAGAAAATGATTTCTGTATTGAATTGTTCCTTTCTTAATCCTTTAGGTGTTTTAATGATTTTTTTTCTATCTGGATTATTCTGTCTATTGCAGTGTTCCCCGACGAGTCACAAAACACGAAGAGGTACAATGACACCTCAATCGACGTTTTGCCGCCCATTAAGGATAATCTGGAGTACGTGAAGCCCTTAAAAATTAGCCAAAATCAATACGAGGATCCGCGTAAGTATCGCATTTATGTTGTGCAAACATCCTTTGTTTTCATCAATCATCTCTTCCTTTTCTTTCTCTGATTCTGACTTGCGTTCGAAATATCCACGTGTGATTCATGGTTCGCTTGAAAGGAACTCTCTTGTTTTCAGCCGAAGAGTTTTCCACGGCGAAGAGACATCACAGCGGTCACTTCCGCCACACGTCGGCCAAGATATGGGACCCGCATCCGCAGTACGAATTTACTGCCTTCGGCAAGCGATTTCGCTTGCGATTAGCGCACGACGCCAGTTTCGTGTCTCCTGACATAAAGGTAAGGATCGACGATGATCGATGATGTACCGATCTGATCGTGCATCGTTCATTGTATCCTAGACGCATTTTAACAAAAATTTCACTCGGACGGAAATCCGTTCTTGTGTGAAAGTGGGGGAAGGATGCGCATCAAAGCGAAACGAGCTGAGGTCGCATGATCTTGGCGTAGTCGTTTCGCTACTTAATTGGCAACACTAATTAGCTTTTGCACGATGACGATGCAGGTGACGCACATGAGCGAAAACACAACTAGGAGGGAGCACGCGGGTCATCACTTGGGCTGCTTCTATAGCGGATCAGTCGATGGCGATCCAAGTTCAGCGGTCAGTGTCAGCCTTTGTCACGGAATGGTGAGTCAGAGATTAAGCTTTAGAAAGACGTCGTCTCGTGATTCTTTATTCGCGTCGCGCAACGCAGTTAATCCCGATCGATTCCGAGGATGATAAATCTACCCGAGCTTGTATTCCATTGTAGCGCGAGTCAATCAACATAAAGTTTTCTCGCGTCTAGTCGGATGCAATATATATTTGTCGAAATTTTATTTCGCAAATCAAATCTCTTTCTCTCGCCCACTCACTGTTTAACTTTTCTCCCGGCAATACCGAAAAGTCAAGAACGTAGACGCAAGTTGGTCTTCGGTGAACTGCGAAAATAAAATTCGAAACGTCTCTTGAATCACACCACCGGTCGTAAATATCGCGCCGGTATTGCGTAGTTGAATTACGATTCACGGAATTTCTCAGGTACTTACGATTGGCGTGGTGTTACGATTGTGCATTCTCACATGCTCGTGTGAAAGACAGCGATATTAACCCTTTATTTCATAGTGCTTTTACTATGAAATCACAGTTAAAAAATTTTTTTTTATTTATTTACATTTGTTACACGCGACCACTTGTTCGTAACTAACTCGTATAGAATAAGGAGAAATTTTATATTTGATACCCATATATTTTATATTGGATACCCAAATATATATTTATTTTATTGTTTTCATCATATATTTTATTTATATCATATATTTACTTATATATATATATATATATATATATATATATATATATATATATATTAGAGATATGCAAATTATTCGAATCAAGTAAAATTCAATTCGATTCAAATTCGAATCCCTATGATTCGAATCCGAATAATTCAAAAATTTCGAATCGAAAAGATTCAAATATGGATCGCGCATATTAGCATTAACGTAAAACTATTAAAGACATCCAGCCTTACGGGAATTAGCATGACTTGAAAAGTTTGCTATACATTAAGATTTTCTTCAAAAATATTAAAAGAAGATAATGGCTTCTAGATAAACTCTTACCGACAACTGTCGGATCGATATGTGTCGTTGCGCAGCTTTCAAGACTGGAACTTCGGTTTTCGGTATTGCTGGGAGAAAAGTTATTCCATACACGTTTACCGACTAATATATTATATATCTCTTACCTTAAAATAAATTGATATCACATGATCAATGTTATCTTTCTCATACTGAAGTCACTATTTTCATGTTGAATTCAATGATTATGTTAATTAAAAATTCTTTTAACGATTCGATTCGACATTAAAAATCTTTGATTTGCACATCTCTAATATATATCATATATTTTACTTATAATAATTCAAAAGAACATGGAGAAAATACTAAAAAGAACATTAACTCTTAATTTATGAAATAATATAAAGCGTTAAAAGAGTGTCGTCAGTTTTCGCAACCTTTCATTCGGGCACGTGTGCGTGAAGTTACTTTACGTTGTCGTAAAATTTAAAGCGACATTGAACCGCGCCGAAGCGTTATTGTTCCTTGACACGAAAATAGAACCAAGCTTGAAGCTTCTTCGTCTGATTATTCTTCATTTTTGCCATGAGACAGAAGGACGCGTGTAAAAGTTGCGATCAGCTGCGTACTCTTAAAAGACACCCCTTTTATTTGTCTCAAGTCGCGCGTGGCGACGTATCCAGCGTTGACAACTCGAAAAGAAGGTTTCAGCCGTGCACTCTCTTTCTTTCTCGGGAACACCTCAGTCGTATGAGATTCTCTTCCCTCAATGAGACCGAATAAAAAATGAACTCGAGTAACGCGCGGCGGCGCGAATGCGACGGGGCGAGACGTTGCACAGTACACGAGAGGATGTCTGAAAATAGTTGCACGCAAAAAATAGGTTCAAGGTTCGTAGCGTAGCCCTCCGTCGTAGAGTAAGACCGGGAACACACAGGAAAACGTAAGCAGTAAAAACTTGAGCAGTAAGCAAATTGACCGAGCACAGTCGATGATTTTCTTCACGGTTCAAGAATAATCACGATTGTAATTGGCCAATTTTCTTATTGCTTAAGTCTTACCGTTTACGTTTTTCTGCGCATCCCTAACCATCGGCGGTTTCATGCACGTGCTGCTCGTGCAGCCGAAGCGTGCGAAACGGCACGCGTTTAATGCAATTTGTTGGCCTTTTGTACACGTCGTGCGTGCGCACGATCGATTGTGAATCGTCGCGTGAATCCACTCGAGAGCTACTCGATTCTGAAAAGAGAAAGAAGAGGAAAAGAAAGAAGGTAGATATAAGCCTCGATCGTACATCAGAAACATCTTCGTGAGTCGTTCCAAGTCCTCGCGAGCCGTGCAGCGGGGAAACGCCGCGCGATCATCTCGACGGTCCATGGGAAACGCCGGGCCGTCGCGCGACGCGATTGGATTTTATATCAAGAGGTGTTAGAGAGAGCGAGAATTATTTGCGACGCTCTAAAGCGAATTTATTGCGCGGACGGCTCGTATATCACTTCTCTCTTCTCTCGCCGGACACCCGGTAGACGCGTTTGCCGGCCCAATGTTCCCCTCGCGGATCGGGATTCCGCTTTGCGAGATGTCGCGGAAGTTTCGAGACGAATGGTTTATCGTGAAAAATAAAAAAGCTCCTTTTGCGAACCCGCAAATACGCACACATACATACATACAGACACACACGTACACACGCTTAAGTTACGCGGGGGATTTTGCTTAAGGTACGCGTCGGCCAAGATCTTCCATTCTCGACACTGGCAAAAAGTCAGCGCACGCTCCTTCGAGCGCTCCTCGGAAAAGGCAACGGACGGCGAGAATGGAATAGAACTTATTTTTCGCTTGTTTAACGCGTTCTACGCGTTGCGATTTGGGTCATGCTTTAATTTAGCCGTGGCAAGGTTAGAGTAGTCAATCGACCGTCTGTTCAGGCATAGAAATAGGAAGAAACGCGAGCACCCGGAGTCGTCGAGCCTTGATGTTTCTACTCTCGATAGCCACGATTCGAGCTACTCGACCTAATTATTCGACCCTGCACGAGCGAATCTCGGTCGCTATTGCGTATCCGGATACATCACTTGGTTTCTACTCTCCTCCGCTCATTATTTTTCAATATCCGCCGCCCCCTCGCGCGCGCGCGCGTCCTCGTCATCTGCCTTTTTATGCTGACCTTCCGCCTGCGTACGGCGTGCGGAAAAGTTTCTTCAAAATTACTGATGACTCGCTAATGAATACTGATTAACACTGATGAGTGAATCACTGATGATCATCGACGATAGAGAAATGCATTTCTATTGATCGCGATGTAACTGCCTTTGTTATTTCCGTACTCTGCCAACGCAAGGCAATGTTGTCACGAGTTGAGAGCAATGAAAATTAGCATCTTAAGTGATTTCCCGCTTATCAAAATTTTACCTCTTCACTACAAAAATCTTGATGCCTGAATGTATCTTATATATACGACATTCGTGATTAATTTTCATTTCCCTTGTGAAGGTCTTGGTTATGTCTTGATCGATGGATTGAGCGGGGCAAATATCTCAAGAGAGAAAAATAATTATCCGACGCGCAAATTCCGATTTAACCGATCGAAAATACACATTCTGCGTATAATTCCGATAAATTACGATACGGGACTAGACAAGAACGTGGAACTTCGCCACGGAATTCCCAGCTGATGTGTATAGTAGCGTAGTCTAGAAGACGAGGAAAAAAAGAGAAAAACGCAAGCAAGGGAATACGGGATATCCTAGGCAGTGATTCACTCCACGGACCATTTCGTTGTATATACACCCATCGTTTCGGGTATCGTACACACACGCACGTGGACACACGCGCACGATCGCGGACACATGTGTACAGATACACACACCCGCGCACGAGCCAGATTTACTGTCTAGACATCAACTTTTTTACAGGCCCGGATTGACGACTCGAAATATTTCCAGGCGAAATTATAGCGGTAAAACAAGGGCTCAGACTTTCAGAATGTCTCCTTTATTTGACTTGATCTTAATTTAAAGATCATTTCTCTCTCTTCTTAGCGAGAATATCTCGTACAGCAAGTCATTGTTTATCGCACTTTTCCGATTCTTAACGTCACGCGTCTCCTTGCGCGCTTTCGAATTAAAGTCTCATTCAGATTCCGCTATTTTGAGAGTGGTTTTATATAGCTTGCATATATAAAACAAAGAGCACGTATTCTTGGCGAATCGTGTAAATCGCGGGGATCGAGCGTCGCGGTGCCGGAATTGCTCGCGAGCCTTCAGCCTCCTCTCTACTCTCTGATTGGATACAGTAAATTTTTCTGAATAGCTTCCGACAACGCGCGGGGAACTGGATGCTGTTTTTTTTGGCACGGCGCGACGCAGCATCGGGGAACGCCAAATCCGCGAGAGTTCGACTCGAGCCGGTACGACCAGTTTCAATTCGACCCGACAACCTTGGCAGAAATGTGTAATATAATAGGCGGAATTAATTAGAAATATTTCGCCCGCGATGGCATTTCGAGCGGCCGCTTTAACAAGGATACACACCGATCACGTCTCGGAGAGAAAGAGATACAAGCCGCGGCTTGATGTTAAATTCAATTCGTTTCGCTCGTTTCTCTTGCTTCCCTTGTTGATTAGCGCGTTCAAAATAACGAAGCGGTGCACAAAGTGGATCCTCTTTTCGTTGAAATCCTTGGAGGAAATGCTCGTCGGTATCACCTTCATCGAGCCCTCGTCCGTATTATTCACATAGAGAGTCGTGGCAATGAAACTCATAAATATCCGAACGCACGTCTACACCCGAGTCGAAATTTTGACCCTATGTTGAACCTTGAATTCTACACCGCAGTAGGAGCTAAGATAGTAAAGTAGGTTTCATTCTAATGATATAATTTACTTCTACTTTGACTCTAATGATGTCTGAAATTTCCGCTTTGGCTTTCTTTAGCGTCAAAGTAGGTTGTATAATAGTAGGATCTTAGGAAGCAAAGTAGGTTCAGTTGCGATCCTCTATTGAAGCTTTAGCTTCTATATAGAATGTATGTATTTTATAGAAATATTTAAAAAATTTAATAAATAA